ATATGAAAAACACTAGTGAAAAACATATTTCACGACTACTGCATATCACCGCGAATATCGCGTTTTTCACAGAGTATTACGCCACTTTACGTAAAACGGGTTGTGAAACTCTATTGAGTTGTACTACTTTGTTGGAGTTTCATCCATTTTACGTAAGGAGGATTACTACTCTGTTGAAAAGGCGATATTCGCGGTGACATGCAGTAGTCGTGAAATATATTTTTCACTAGTGTTTTTCATATCACTAGGGTGAAGGAGACTCCATTTTATCAATGGAGTTTCACAACCCGTTTTACGTGAAGTGGCGTCGTAAAACTCGGTGAAGAACGCGATATTCGCGGTGATATGCAATAGTCGTGAAATTTTTTTTTTCATATTACTAGGGTGGTGAAATTCCACTAATACACCACTGAATTGAACCTGTGCGGAATTGCATGTCGTCGCTTTTCAGAATCCCTCTATTTCTCCGCACCTACTTTGGATTTCGCCAACGATTGGATTCAAGCGATGGACAGGGCTAGCCGTATGGGAAATGAAACTTCTAATAAAAATAGGTTTGAAAATAAGACTAACATTGGAGTTTCACGAGCCGTTTTACGTGAACTCGATATTCGCGGTGATATGCAGTAGTCGTGAAATAGATTTTTTATTGGTGTTTTTCGATATGGTGAAACTCCATTAATTTTACTACTGTCATTTTCAGTTCGATCTCGTATGAGGGAATACCAACAAGTAGTAATTGTTGATAATCTTAATTCTCCTAGGATTCGTATTAGATCCCCTACTTCCCCCCTGGGATCAGCCGTTGATGAAAGCGAGCATCCGCGTTGTTGATTACCTGGTATCGTCGGCTCGGCCGACTTGTATGCAGCCACCGGTAGTGTATGCTGAACTGGAGTCAACTTTGAGTAGGTCCAGATGCTGGAGGAATATATCTTTGCTTTCCTCAGCTGAGCTCAGGAGTTTTTTTACTAGTTATAAAAGTTTATATATGAATTTGGGTAGAAGTGTACAGAAACCAATAAGAATTTCCTCCCAGAATTTTCATATTGTCATCACCAACACATGTAGTTGAGCATGTGAACATATTTTCCCGAACTGCACACGTTCTCTATTCAGCTCGCGTGCCTGTGATCGATTATCATCTGGACAGCGAAACAACAACAACAACATTGGATACCCCGAACGCTCTAGGTTAGTTTTCAAATGTAGTTGTTTTTATATCATCGCGTATATGATATCGCCTAAGATTCTTGTACGACTCTTAAGTAGTTGTTTTGTTAGAACCACCTGAAGGAGGACAAGCGCATCGGCGACGACGTTGGTCGGAAATTTCGGTGATGCCAGGGGAAGAGCTGGGGTCCCCGGCTAGTGATCGATCGGAGGATGTGTGTACTGAGGTAAGTATCTTAGGTTCAAGCGTGTAAGATACGGATTAGGTCCAGCCGACGTTGGAGGCTCCGGTTGAGATACCATTGTATCAGCGAAGACCGCAGGATAAATTGGTAGGGTGTGGGAGAGGTATCTTAGGTTGCTGAGTGGAAGATACGGATTAGGCCCATAGACATGGTCGGGCTTTTTCCAGCTGAGCTCACTGATTATTGGGAATTGCGTGCGAATTTGGGTAGAAGTGCGCAGAAATAAGCGAAAATTCTCCAAAAATTTCCCCAAAATTTCCTGAAAATTTTTCTTTTCTCACCAAAACAGGTAGTTGACCATATGCATATTTTCCCACATTGACATTTTTCCGGCAAAAAGTTTATAAGAAATTTACAAAATTTTAACGACGTATTTTATCACACTGTTTTTAGGTGCTGCATGTGTTTCACCCACAAACGGGGTTGCTGATAGGGGAAACTTCAATTATGAAATATGATATGCGCAGAAATTTGCCATGGACGATTGAGTCCGAAGATCAGTTGGCAGGTGCAAGGTACCTAATCTGAATCTTACACGCTTGAACCTAAGATTCTCTCTCCAGGTGGTGCGCAGTAGTGGCTTCTGAGAATAAGCAGACTTCTACAGTTGATGATAAACTACCGTATGTGACGGCATTGAAGGTGGTCCCGAAGCTCACTGGTGGATTGATGGAGTAAGTGGGCATGATCTGAATCTTTCGCGGAGGAACCTTGGATATGTTTTTTTTCAAGATACTTCGCTCCGCTGTCGGAATCTCAACAAACTACGAGGAGATTGGAGTTCGACTATTTTAAAATGCAGATTTCACGGTTTGTGAAATTGATCGATTTGTTCCAGATGGTGAAAGCGAAATATAACGACGTTGTGGAGTGGCGCTGGGCATTCAGGTGAGTGTTGGAATAAATTTTTTCGGCTTGGCTCAGCTGAGCTCAGAAGTTTCCTCACTAATAATAGGAGTTTTCAGGAGGGTATAGACACTAATGAGAGTTTCATCAATTTTCCTCTCAGAATTTCCACACATGTTGTTGACTATGTGCATATTTCCCCCCAGTGCTTCCGATGGGCCTGTTTTGAATCTTTCACGAGGGACCTCTGGATTCTGGTGGGAAGATATGCATGTGTGTGTTGGTGAAAAAGTCTGAAGAAATTTCGAGTAGTTTTTATTGATTTTGTTGTACACTTCTACCCGAAGTCGTGTGTAATTCTCTACGATATGTGACAAAACTTTTGAGATCGCTTGAGGAGAGCGAAAATATATTCCTCCAACACTGGGGGAAACCCTTGCCGTTTCTGAGTTGCTCTACTGAGCTTTATGCGGACCAGTGTGGGAGGAAAATATGCACGTGGTCAACTACATGCGTTGGTGAGAATAGAGAAATTCTGGGGAAATTCTCATTGGTTTTTGTAAAAATCGGTATGTATGTAAATGCCTATAATTAGTTTTGGAAGCTCCTGAGTAAAGCGATGATATATTTCTCAAACACTGGAGTTTTACGTGGAGTGGTGAAATACTCTGTGAAAAACGGGATATTCGCGGTGATATGCAGAAGTCGTGAAATATATTTTTCACTAGTGTTTTTGCATATCACTCGGGTGGTGGAACTCCATTTTTCCAGATCCTCGGTTTGGCTGCTCTACTGCACGCTTTTGCTGGCAGTCTACCCTGAGCGTTGCCACTGGGTATTGTGCGCTCACCTAACACTGTAGGAATATTTTTTTGATTTTGTGGATGATTTTGTTCATGCTGTAGTTACTGCATTTATTGTAATCCAGCTGTCCGCTCTGGTCTGTCTCGGTTTTTGACGAGCTCATTTGATATCAATGCTGAATATGTGAAGCAACGGTTGTCGCAAGTGAGGTAAAAAAAATTACCAAAAAATAGAATTTTTACCAAAAAAGTGGTAATTTTACTGAAAATCGTGGTAATTTTACCGAAAATCGTGGTAATTTTACCGAAAATAGTGGTAATTTTACCGAAAATCGTGGTAATTTTACCGAACATCGTGGTACTTTTACTGAGAATCGTGGTATTTGCTTCCAAAAATACCGCATGCCGGGATCGAACCCGGGACCTGTTGTGGTTGTTCGTTCGGGAATGCTCACTACACTTCGGGACTGCTAATACAATATCGGGAATATTAAAAGCGGCAGTAGTGTGCACTAGTCATGCGTTTGGCATAACTAGCATCGACTATATGTGCATCGCTCCGCTGGGCTTTACTCTATTCCCCTCTAGACTGCTAATACAATATCGGGAATATTAAAAGCGGCAGTAGTGTGTACCGTGAAACCCACTAGTAGTCCACTTAGAGGAGTGGAGTATAGCATATGTACCAACTGTGCGTGCGTGCAATACTGAAGACAACTACGGGTAATCGATGAGAAGGTACTTAAGAATCACCAACTGTGGCCAACCACACTATCAAAGCAGTCTGCACTAGGTTGAGGATGATGCGCATGCGTTCGCCATAACTAACATCGACTATATGCGCATCGCTCCGCTGGAGTTTACTATATCCCTACCCCCTCAGGCCGTTGTCGTGTCTGAGAGCATCAGCGTCAAAGGATGTTCAACAGATAGAGTTAACGCCGTTGTTTATACCTGAGCAAGAACAAGCTGAAGGAATTGAAGACACTGAGTGAGTTCATCCCGATAACAGCAGTCTTGGAGTAGGAATATAGGTTCACTTTTCTCAGCTGAGCTTGGGAGTTTCCAAACTATAATTCCGAAAATAGGAATTTCCCTAGTTCATATTGTCACTAACACATGTAGTTGAATATGTTTATATTTTCCATCGACATTGCTATGTGAGGAGGCGCAATTTTCGATAATGAAAAAGAGGCGGCAGATTCTCATTGAGTTCAGGTATGTATCGGAAATTTGGGAGAATCAAAGGCGACTCTTCGGAGGGAAAACGTTTTCGCCGGTGAACTTATTGGTGTTGGATCGCCCAAGATGGAGTGATGCTGCTGGGAAGACTGCGCTGGACCCGCCAACGTCGAGCTCGAATGTGAGTCGAAACGGGTTTTCGGGCTTCGGGTTTCTGTGCGGATTTTGTCGGGTGTTATTACCGGTTTCATACATCTGAGAACCCGTAGGATATTTTAGATATGGTAGAATGGAAGAATAACTATGTACATAATCATTTGTTATCCACGAGGAACGGAATTATCATAAGCTTGCCATCCGACAGATATTAATACCTTTGTGGTAGATGGATATAATCGTGCGTGAAAAAAACACATTTTTTAAATTTCTTATTACATATTTTCGTTAGATAACATGGCGTATCGACGTCGTACCCGGTCCGGGTGGCACTGATGATAACGGTTGGAGATACGCATGGCGGTGGGGAGCGTCGACGTGGAAGCCCTCGTACAGTCGGTAAGGGTGGTGGACGTTGGGGATTCTCAATTGAAACGGTCCTTAATAACGAGCAATACATGCTACAGCAAACACGTTCTTCTGCTCTAAAGCTAGCGCCCTTAATTATCGTCGCTCCGCTCCTTCATCCTCTGGGCTCGGCACATCCGATGAGTTGGGGAATCTCAGATGGTTCATTTTGGGGGTAAAATGATACGGAATTTCTGAGGAATTTTTTGGGAAAAAATTGTAGGTTTTTGTATAGTGAGAAAGTTCCTGATATGAGCAAGAAAGTCGAATATATATTTCCTCCGATAATAGGAAGCGTCGCGGCTTTCAGCGATGCATATAGATGTGCATTAGATGTATACATATAGTTCGTCCCGCTAGAGTTTGTAATAGCTGATGTATTCGCCTTATTTTTCTTGAGCGGACGACCAGGCGTAGTTGACAGTATTATGGCGAAGTTGCGGGCTGGAAAGAACTCTGAGAATTCATCAATGGTGAACGACGCTACCTATGCCGATTTGTCACGATCGTTCACTGTATCAACTGTGGAGGAATCGTCAATGTATTGCTGTATATTCATCTGTATTAAACATTGCTTTCACGTTTGGCAGAATCGTGCAATAGGTACGATTTCGTGAGAAGGAGGAGGTGGTTGCCTACTATAGCGATCTCAGCCGACCCGACGTCATTGGTATCTGCCGAATCACCACCTGAGCCGCTGACGCCTGGACGAGTATCTCCTAGGGAGGGGACGTCCTCTGGGAGAAAGGACGATCCTTCTTATATGAAGAAAATGTTCGGCTATGGTGGGAGTGTTTTTTTGCAAGAATTGACAGTGTGGGAAAATACCCACATGATCGATACCATTTGGAGTTTCACCATCCGTTTTACGTGAAGTGGCATAAAACTTGGTGAAAGACGCGATATTCGCGGCCTGTAGTAGTCGTGAAATATGTTTTTCACTAGTGTTTTTCATATCACTAGGGTGGTGAAACTCCAAAATTAAAGTTTTGAGAAGTTTACTGTTGATTTCTGTACACTTTTATCGGAACATGTATATTAGTGAGAAAACTCCAGCTCAGTTCAGCTGAGGAAAGCGAAGATTTACTCCAACATACGGCTCCTATGTACAGTATGGGAAAACATATCCATGGACGACTACATGTGTCGGTGACAATATCTCGTTGGGTTTTATACATTTCTATCAGAATTCTTATATTCGTGAGCTGAGGAGAGCGAACATATATTCCTACTCCAACACTGGAGTTTCACCACCCTAGTGATATGAAAAACACTAGTGAAAAACATATTTCACGACTACTGTATATCACCGCGAATATCGCCTTTTTCACCGAGTTTTACGACGCCACTTCACGTAAAACGGATGGTGAAACTCCACTGCATGTGTTGGTAACAATATGAAAATTCTAGTAACTATTGTTGGTTTCTCTACACTTCTACCAGAGTTCGTATACTAGTGAGAAAATTGTCATCAACCCTGGAGTTTCACCACCCGTTTTACGTGAAGTGGTGTAATACTCCATGTGAAAAACGCGATATGAAGTGAATTCAAAACACTTCGTGAATCAGTCCATTTCACGGGTGCTACGAAATCATGATAGCATGCGTTTTCCATAAAGTAAAACGTGAAATATTATTTTAATATCACTGTTGACGTAGGTGCAAGAGCAAGCGCTGAGACTAGCAGTCCCTCACCAGCAGCGTTCGACTACGACCTTTATGACATGGCAACTGAAGAGTCTCAGCCTAGGTGGGTTGTTATATATGTATTTATTTTTTATCGATTTTTTTACATATATTACCAATTTTACAACACTACTTTTACATGTTACTATTCGAAAATTCCACTGCGGAAAATTTTTCAAAAAATCACTCCGAATTAACGATAACGCCATATTTTAACGCGCCATGCACATCCAGAATACAACGAATCTCGATATTGGCAATGCCTTAATATAGATCATTTAATGGAGTTTCACACGAAGTGGCGTCGTAAAACTCGGTGAAAACGCGATGTTCGCGGTGATATGCAGTAGTCGTGAAATATGTTTTTCATATCACTAGGGTGGTGGTGAAACTCCAATGTTATTGTTGTCTTAGTTTGATCGGTGGTGTTGGGAAAATATGGAAAGACTTCAGAGAAGTCGCGTGGAGAGCCCAAGTAGAGATCGCTGAATTTTGCGAGGACATTGAGAGAGCCGTGTCGTTGTTCTGTTGGCGAGATAAGGGCCTTACTCATATTATGGCTATGGTAAGTGAAAAAGGGGGAATATGTTTGTAGCAGTGTTGGTGGAATGTATGTTGTTGGCGTTGCTCAGCTGAGTTTGGGAGTTCCCCGCAGTTATTATAGTGGTTTATATACGAGTTTGGGTAAAATTTCCGAAAATTTCCTGAAATTTTCTCGTTATTTTCATATTCTCATTAACACACGTAATTGACCATGTGCATATTCCTCGCCATACTATGCTGAAGAAAAAGTATATGAAAAAAATTTCCCAATTTTGAGTTGGAAAAATTAGGAAATGCCAAAAATATCGATCTGAAATTTTCCATACTGTTGTCTTTTCTCATGATTTTGTCTATGCTCAGGTCCTTATAGGAGCATGCGTTGTTCTCTACTTCGTGCCCGTATCACTACTACTCTACTTTTACGTCTTAAGTAGATTTATGAACGGTTTCAGACGAGGGCGTTGGAAGAAGCTTCTTAGGAAGTGTGCGTTGAGGCACATCTCGGAATCACGAATAGAGGTGGGTGGAAAATCAATTTCTGACTAGTGGACCTGATTCGTATCTTGCTGTGAGGAACCTAAGATTCTTCGGCGGAGCGAAGTTTGTTTGGGTGGATTTTATTTACCTGATACGCATCGACGATTTCAGTATTTGCGTTTCTACGTGGCATTTTGTCAAACTGTTTGAAGAAAGATATTTCAGAAATTATTTCTCGTAGTGAATTTTGTGAAATGCGTATTTACTCCAATGAGAAGGGAGGGAAGTTAGCTCACATGGTCAACTACATGTGCTGGTGACAACATGAAATTTCTGAGAAAATTTTGAGAAATTATTGGAGTTTCACCCGTTTTACGTGAGGTGGCGTGAAACTCCATGGGAAACGCGATATTCGCGGTGATATGCAGTAGTCGTGAAATATGTTTTTCATATCACTAGGGTGGTGAAACTCCATTGTTGCCACCCTAGTGTGTATCTACTCATCTGAGGAAAGCGAACATAAATTCCCCCGAGACTGGGATTTTGTTGTTCGTGCTCAGAATAGAATTCCGCCGACTACGGCTCTATCTGAGCTGGATTCGGTACAAGCTCAGAAGATGTGTTCATCACTGCGCAGACGGGTTCACGTCGGGCAAGCGTTGTCGGTGAAAGTGCTTCAGTCGTATGAGGAGGATGAGGCTTTAGCTGACTGGCTGAGGGAACAGGTATGACCGCGCGCCACGAAATTATAAGTATGTCTTTTTGGCAGGTCCCTGGGTGTAAACTACCACCGAAGTGGACGAGGAAGGACTGGCTTGACAACTTCATTGAGCATGCTCCTACTGGAGAGGTGGGGTGAGGGGTCTGGAGTTGCTGAGATATACGTTTGACACTTGGCGTGGTATCGAGCAGAATTGGTGTTGGAGGGATATACAGCTGAGCTTGGGAGTTCCCTTACGAATTGGAATAGAAGTTCACAGAAATTCCTCGGAATTTCCATATTGTCACGGCCACATGTAGTTGATTATGTGAATGTTTTCTTGTCACACTGAAAGTGACACATATATGATTGTTGTTTATATTGTTTGATATTCGATAACCACCGGCGTACATCCTCATATGCTTTTTATGGTGAGGTAAGGAGTATGGAGAGAGATATGCATAGTCGAGTGCATTTGTTGGCAGTGTTGGAGGAGGAATATATGTTCGCTTTTCTCAGACGAGTTTGCTCACAAATTCGGGATTTTCCCGAGGTTTTCAGAATGTCCACGAATAGATAAACTTGGAAATTCCGGGAAATTTTCCGATTGTTTTGGTATACTTCTATCGTCTGTTTATCACATAATTTAGTTTTGGGAATTTCGCCGGTGAGGGAAGCAAACATACATTTATGAGTGGAAACAGTATGTATAGATTTACCGTAATAGATGTATATATTATTCTACTTAATTTCATGCACGCTAAAAAATCATTGTTTTACCAATATTTTAATGAATTATTCTAGTATTATCTATACAACGATACAGATTATCTATCCGAATTGAGATCGCCCTTTCTCAGGATACGGTATCGGCTATAATGTCGGATAAGTCATCCGTTGTGAAGCCTCGAGGGTATCTCCCAGACCGAATTCATAGTAGAAGACAACACAGTGTGAGCAGCGTGAGTGGAGTGCCGAGTAAAGAAGACTTCCACGATGCGTAGCTTTATTATTTATTCTCACTTTCTGTAGCCATTTCAGCAGATTTGTTTGTTGTGTAATCGATCAATCGGGCGCGCGCTTTTTCCAAAGCAGTTTTCCGTTTCTTTTTTCCCTCAACTGTCGTTATTGGGTAACTCCTATACTCAGCTTGGTTGTTTTGATGGCTCCGAAGAAGAAAGCTGTTCCTGTGCCCGCGCCGCTCACTCCTCCACCACCGGCATCTGCAGCGGGGATGTCAGAATCGCAGAATTCGGTGTCGCCGAATAGGAGAGGACGCAAGCCTGGAGGTGGGTATTTCATGATTTTATGTTGATGATTTTGGACTTTGGTTTCAGAGAGGAGAAGGAAACGCAATGCTGAGACGTACAATACATATATTTTTCGAGTTTTGAAACAAGTAAGGAAATGCTGTTTGTGTGTTTGTGAGGAGTTTTCATCAGGTTCATCCTAATATGGGCATTTCTAAGAAGTCGATGATGATTATGAATTCATTTGTGAATGATACGTTTGAAAAGGTTGGATGTGTGCGTTTTGGTGATTTTCGATGTCGCTTCTCCTCAGATTGTCTCAGAGGCGGCGAAGTTGTGTAAATATTCAACTAAAGGGACGCTCTCGAGCAGAGAAGTAAATCTTTTTTCTTGTGGGTTTGTTGTGGGAGTGTCATGTCAGATTCAGACTGCTATTCGTTTGGTCCTTCCAGGAGAGCTGGCAAAGCATGCCGTGAGCGAAGGCACGAAGTCTGTGACGAAATATACTAGTGCAAACGCATGAGAGTTTTCTGGTGTTTATGCGTGCTAAATATGGGATGAATGTTTTTTCTAATTTGATTCTTCCTCAAGTTTTTGTGTTGATATTGAGGGGAAACGAAAAGCGTGTCTAAGGCGGTTCCCAGAAACGACTCAAACTGCTCGAGAGGATGATCGAGTTGAGAGATACAAAACTTGCAGACTAGAACAAAGAGAAACCAAAAAAGGAAAAGCCTGACTCGTACTGCTCGTCCTCATACCACTCCTCGATGTTGAATGGGATAGAATCAGAAACGTAGCGCCGCGGAGCGGCCTTGTTTAAAATAACGAGAAGAAAGCGCTCGGAAAGGGGGTCAACCATTAACGATGAAACTCGAGTGGATCAGATCGGGTGTGAGGGAGAGGGAGGAAGACGATTGTGACTGTAATTGAAAACGATTTGTGGGAGGAAGTGTGTCTTGGGTTGATGTCTCGTGAAATGATAGGAAAATAGGCGTTGAATTGTAAGGAAGGATGTGGATGTGAAACTCCTATTGCTCGTCGAGAGTAAAAATGAGAATCTGACAGATTCAATCTGTAGTCGTAATGGAGGTGAACATCTCAGGTTAGGATGGGCGAGGATCTCTGTTGAAGGCGGACAGTGATCGCCATACTAGAAGGTCGGAGAAGCGATTAAGGTGGCCTCATAGATCGTATGGCTATCGAGGGAAGTATGAAGTCGTTCTCGTTGGAACTTCATTTGTCTGCAGGATGTTGGGTTATGTTTCTTGTCAACAATTAAGCCCATGGATGGTATGAGGATACTTTCTCGGAGAGTGTCCCTGTTTTGTTCAACTAGTCGAGCTGGAAGGCTTACAAACGAGCCGAATAAAACAGCAATTCACTCTCTCGGTTACTATTCAATTCACAGCCTCAATTCAATTGCATCATCATCACCTGTGTGTGAGTCTCACCTCCAACGCCTACGACAACACGTCCTAGTTGAACTCGTATCGATGCACATTAGCTCACGAGGGATCAGTCTATAGCCTATCGAATTAGCCCGTTCGTGAAGCCGAGGAATATCGTCAAATAACCTCATTCCAAGATACTTCTCTTCATCCCGAGGACCCCACTGTTCACCGAAAACACAACTCATACCACACTTCCAGAAACATCAGGTTGACATCGTCCAATCAATATTTAATTCACCACCAACACCAAAATCGACATTCCAACCAGCCCGTCTGGCAGTAGGCTCCACAAGAAGCCTGGACGACGGGCATGCCCTTTGCAACGCTTCCCTCACCGAGCTCTGCATGTCGCTGACGATGCGGTTATCCGTTGGCAGGCCTTCGACACCACACTTCACCGTTTTCCCTAGGAGGCGTTCCGACCAGTACAGCGGTTTGGAGAGGCAACAGTAACCCCACAGCTGGACTGTGAAAAGCTGGGCAGCGAGGGCAGGGGACAAAACATCAATTTCGATCACCCTCTCGGCGACTCGAAAAAGTCTATCAATATCGTCAGTGGATAAGCTCAGCCTTCTGCTGGTCGCCGCAACCCCAACAAGGAGTGCTATTATGGCCGGGGGCTCTGGATCGCCTTTAAGACACAAATTGACAGCAGCCTTGAGGAGCCCTGAGGGCAGAGGGAGGTCCAAGACGGCCAGAGACCAGACGCTCGCACATGCATTTCTAACAGAGGACTGGCCGGGGTCATTCAGCACTGGGCTGACCGTTTCAAGGAAGCCCATGAGGTTATCGTCAAAGTACCGCAAGCTGCCGAAGGACCATAGAATGTTCGACACGAGACGATGGGGATCCTCCCCTGCGACCAGTGTCGCTGCATTGGACCGTAGGACGGCGGAGAGTTGCCCTAAAGCCCCTCTGCTGGCCTCTGCCACACCACTGAGGGCCACGGCCAAGCCCCACACTATCATACCCAGCTCTTCTGGTCGGGGAGGTAGACCCTCTTGGGACCACCTGGAGACGCTTCGAGAAGCGACCCTTTGAATAGCCCCCCTCACGCGTTGCCCCTCAATGTCGCTGAGTGCCCCTCGGTCCTCAGCAGCTTGCAAGAGCTTGGCCAGACCCCAGACTGAGTTCGCCTGTGACTGTGTTGCCGCAATGTCGTTGTCGAGATGGACCTCCGCTAGAGTCGACAGGTGCAGTATGAGCCCCGGGGGGTGTAGGACTTCCATCACCCCGAGACCCCAGATGATATTGGACACGTTTTGCTCAGTGAATCTATCGACAGACCTTCGACACATCAGGCGGTCGGCCAAGGGCATCGCTGCAGAAACTATAGCGGCCTTTATGGCCATTTCTGTTGTAGTTTCATACAAGGACCCGCAAGCCCAGATGCAGTTGGCCACATGTAGGGGCTCGTAGGCTTCTAGGGAGGGTTGGGAGGTTATGACCGAAGCCAGGCACTGTACCAGCTTATGGCAATCAGTTCGACTTCTCAACTTCGCAGAGCTCCACAGGGCGTTGGAGACCACTCTAGGGTGGACAGATGCTGTGGGACTCGCCAGGAGGTCTGCCAGGCGATCGATCGTTCGGTGAAGGAGGTGTTCGCATGAGGAGGAGTAGCGGGCCAGACGGTGAAAGGCAGTACATGCCGTGACGATGTCGAAGGACTCCACGGGGATGTCGGAGGAAGCGATGAAGCTTTCAACCTGACGTAGGGTGTCGCTGATCCATACAGCACTCTCCTACCTCCTCGCGGCTCCGACACTTTGATATTTGGTGGCTGATTTGAGCTTGTCTCGACATGGGTTTGCCCCTTGGGGTCTGTTGGGCCCTCGTAAGGGTAGATAGGTATCGAATGCCAAGCCGACTCGTGACTAGACCAATCGAGCATTTCATCAATGCTGATACGACCGTCCCTCTCCCTCACACACACTGTAACACAATAAACATGAAGATGTGAATTGTAGAACTGCACTGAAACGACACCAACTCATGCGGCCTTGGGTGGAGGAGGAGGAGGACGAGCGGAAGGCGGCGGCGGCGGAGGAGATCTCTTGGGGGAAGGGATGGACTGAAGGGAAATGACGTTGGGGAGAATCGAACCAGGGACCTCGTACATCAATAACAACGAAAGTCTTGGGGTTGCTGCCCAGGCCGAAGCCGCCATCACGGCCCTGTGTAGGGGTCATACCAAGTGGGGTGGGAGCAGCTCCATTCGAAACGCCCTAACATCATATCAGCCGCTGTGGGAAAATATGCACATGGTCAGCCGAACGTGTGTTGGGAGAATTTAGGGAAATTATTGTTGCTTCTCGCATACATCTACGCCAAAAAATGTAGTGGAATAGTTTCAGAGCTCAGGTGAGAAAATCCAAGGTGGATTCCAACTTCGCCTCTCCCCTAGCTCACCCCAACAGCATGCTTAGTGTACACAGTGCTGTCCAGTATATTCCTCGTGTAAGCCCAGACGTAGTTGTCATCCAAAGGCTTGAAACCGTCCGAGGCGTACGGGTCTCTACGCTTGGCACCTGACCGTCGTAGCTCTTAAGGGGAGTTCTCGATCATCATTAGAGTTACCGAGTTCGTCGACTAGAGTGCTCCGTCTTGCGAATCGCCTGATGGAACTTCTTAGCATCAGAAAAGGATATTTAAAACTGTGAGGAGAAAAGTTAAACTCGGCGTACTGCTGATGCCGTTAGGAATCGCATAACACTTCATCTTCATTGAATCAACTCAGAAGTCTAAGAAAGCAATTCTGGAGTCGAATCTGAGTTTCTTGGACGACCTCACAGTGAACCTCTTCCGCTAGACTCTGAAGAATAGCAGACCTCAAGGTTTAACCACCCACTTCACCAGCTTCAAAAACTTTTAGTATTATGATGAAACGCTGATCGTCTTGAGCGTATCTTCCAAAGTGCGATGAAAACCGCCAAGAGGAAATGCATCATCAATTCATCGCGAGTGATGAACGACACCAGATGGTGAGCAAGTCCGCCCTCAGTCAGAAGTTGAGTCGACTACCACAATAACGTGGCTTCACTAGAAGGGGAAGCCAACAGTCCACCATAGAGTCGTCATCTGCGAGCCGATTGGCCCGAACGTTGCCGGCAAATCCCGAAGAGAAGGAGTTCTACAAGTCCCTACAACTCCAGTAAGTTTCTACAGACTATCAGAGCAATTCCTCCCTGGACTGGCCTCGGATCACCATGTCTAGACTCTCATGCTTCACGCACAGCGGTGATTTTGTGAGGAACTGCTCAAAAGGAAATTGTGTAAAAGTGAGTAAAGCCTAGAGTGCAAGATGTGAGTAACCGTTCTTGCCAGGAGTAAGATCTCTCAGAAAGCTTCAAGCGACGCGACTGCAGAGTATTATTGAGTATCTATCACGGCTCTGTGTGAGCTTTGTGTGCTCCCACTGTGCCTCGGCTCGAGGGAGAATTCCTGTATCGTAGTGGTATTAGACAAAAGAGAACATCAGTGGAACAGATAGACGTCGATATGAGGGATGTTGGTGGTTCGGAGAATCAACATAGTAACCTGCTTCTTGGTTTCATGCCAATGGTGTATTCCATCAAACCGTTGTCCATGTTGCTCTATATCACACTGGTGCTGGGCACAGCGGATGGCTCGAGTAGAGCGGATAGAGTTGGCCGTGTAGTCGAAGTGAAGGTGGGCTGCTCAACGCTAAAGATAGCAGCTCCGTCACAGTATAGCCATGAGAATAGCTTTTCTTGATGGCATGATATGATTACCATTTTTGTGTCGATTCTCGTGAGAGCATGCCGATTGGTGCTTGCGATTTAGGCTCATGGTAAGCCGAGCTCACTGCGAAATCCGCCGCTTGAGAGCAAGCCTTTTCGTATTATTGATCAAGCTAAAGCTACTAACGATGATGAAATACAGCAGGTGAGGAGCCGTTCACCATCATTGAATCTTCTCGCGAAATTTCTCAGTGTAATGTATATCTCGATAGTGACAGAGAAGCGACATTCGTGTACCGTCGGTTGACGTGCCCGAGGTGAGCGACTGACCCCTAGGGAAGGGGATACGTTGCTGTTCCTGGAGAAGAATTCCTTCAGATATGGAATCCTGCATGATGTTGTTCTTGCCGAGCAACTCAATAATCATCAATCTGAGGGACATCACGCTGAAGAGCAGAACAAACAGAAGGACCAGATGAACGGAAGTCCCAGCCAACACCAGAAGCTGGATTTGGGACGAATCATTGGTCTAGCCCCATGGGGAGCGCAAATGCTCCGAGCCTTGAAGTGGAAGCCTGAAATAAAGGACCTGCCTTTCCCTTATCCATCGGGCATGAACATTGATGAGGAACTGGAGAAGGACTCATATGACTGTGAAGCTTTCCAGACGTTGCGACTGAGAAGCCGTACCAACCACAGCAAAGAAGTGGGAGTGTACCAGTATAGCTCGTCCGACGATGCGTGATCGTAGGTGAGATGGAGTATATGGGTAAGATTGAATGCTCCTGTACTCGAGGAAGGCTTCAGAATAAGTAGGATCTCCACCACCATCTCTGAAAACATTCCGTAAGAGAATCAAGCAGTGAGCCTTTATTCCACTCTACTTAGACTTCTCTGTTCAGAGGCTTAAGCCTGGACTTCAGTATGTCTCGTCTGGAAGAGTTGGAGGCCAACGCAGAACGATTCCTTCCGAACTCGACGCAGTATCCGAGTAAACCAAATCGTGAACATCTTTGCTCCAGACAATTGAATCGCTATCTGTATTACATCCTGGGGAAGAATAATGGCGAAGGCTCTACTGCCCTACTGAACGACAAGAAGTGGAAGCCGATCCTCTGGCGCATAGTTATGTGGCTTTTCGCTGGCCAGACTGACCCCAAGATCGAGGATCATTTCATACCCATTGGAGCGCCAATCTACCGAGTCACAGATCGGAAGAGTGCGTATCCTCCTCAATTTATCCTCTGGCCATCATTTACGGATCCTTCATGGATTCTGTATTAGTTTTCGGTTATAGTATGGATCGTGGTATATGGCGCTATGTGCTGTCCGATGTGGTGTTCGTTGTCACAGGCAGTTGTGCTGTGTTGTCGAATACGTATCAACGGGTCAGAGGGATGAGATTGTGTGATACTTTCGGAGAACGGATTCGCAGATACTGTTGAGTCTGAATCCACTCGCCATCTAAAGACGGTGCAACACAGAAACCCAAGAGAAGAAATTGACGCCTCGGTCTTGTTATCACAAGTGAAGTACGAGAGGAGCATCCTTCGCCTGAAGTATCGAACATACACCTCTGGCGAAGAATTCAAACTATTAGTTTACAACTTTTAGTTCAAACTCTACTTAGTAAGTAGAGTTGGTTGGTGAGTGTCTCCCCACTCATGGCAACTCAAACAGTCATCGCTGGGAGGGAGGTCGATGTGCAGATGGTCGATGTGTCACCAATACTCAGGAGTAAATGTAGATACTGTCTAGTATATAGCTTAACAAGCTTCATAAGCAAGCAACTCGACGTGTGTTGCAGCGGCACAATACAAAACAGCACGACAGCACAACAGCGGAATGCTGTTTTCCATTTTGGCCCGTAAGAACCGCACATGCTCTTATGTGTCTGCTGTTTTCTAAACGACGAAACAGCGCCAGTTATTTACAAAGTCGCACTGTTATTAGACATAATAGCACTCTGATTTACATAAGCGCTCCGACATTATGCAAAATCGCACTTCTGCTGAAACGCTCGTTGTGTAGGGACTTCGCTTGTTCGGATCATTTGGCGTTCTCTGTAAGCTCCATAAGTCATGCTGCGGGACATCAAAGGAACTTTGCTGGTATCCGTGTGTGCCTGAGAGCGGCTGCATGATTACGATACAGGGTTTGCCCTTTGGGCACGGGCGGAAATTTCCGAAGGAAATTTTCGAGAAAATTTCAGAAATTTCCGTTGAGGCTGGAAATTCTTGGAAATTTGCTAAAAATGCCCAAAAAATCGTGCCCAGGGTAGTAGAGAGGAGAGATGTAGCTCAGATTCATTCATAATGGCCGAATAAAGCTAGTGAAGGCGTTCGCAGGTGTCTACTGGTCACTATGAATACATCTTGCGGTTACCCTCAGATATCGATCAGGTGGGCGTGCGCGTGAGCCTCTCAAGAGTTAGCGATTCTCCAACTATCTTGCAATCTTGCGTTCTCTCTCTCAAGAGTCGAATAGTGTCGGCGTAGCTCCAGTTATTTTCACGGTTGGCGCTATCGACCTATTTGGCTGTAGTCCAGTGGACTAAGTCCACCATATCTTGCGTTCTATCGAGTACATCTTCGGCGGTAATCTTCGCATTCACACGTTAGCTGATCACTTTCTCCCGTAATTCAGAATGATTATGGTGGATGAAAAACGAGATAAAATATCTCATTTCCCCTCTAAGAGCTCAAGCTTTTGCTCACGTTCGACCCAGAACAGTAGACTCAGTTACCTAGGATACAAACTGAAGCAGAACTCGGCCAGCCTCGGCCAGACTCGTATAACACCCTAAGATGACATGGCTACTATAGCGGGCCGAAGGGCCGCGATTTCTCTGGTTCAAACCACCCTATTTGGCATGACATACGTTGGGCCCGGAAGTGGCATACGTTGGGTCCGGTGGGCATACCTGGCTGATCGCATGTCTCGCGCGCCCGCATGGCGTGCGAGATTTACACGGAAATTTCCATTTCCACCGTTTCCGAAATTTTCCGTGATAAAATTTCCTTTCCGCGAAATTTTGACGCTTGCCCGCCCAAAGGGCAAACCCTGTTACGATACTTCACTCATTACCATGCTTTCAGTTGGTTCCAGGCCTGGACTCTAATAGAGTTTTTCGTTGGTGCGTCACGCGTGGAGTATGATGATGTGAAGCGAGATTATCAAACTTCCAAGGTACTCGTAGTTCTCGCTATCGTGTTCGATGAGAGCTCCGAGGCCATCGAACCAGTATTCGAGCCTGTCAAATTGTTCTTGAACAAGACGGCTCCTGATGCTGTTGATGTGAGAGTGACCTGCGTCTGCAGCGATGCTGATGTTGGGAATCCCAACTTGGGATTCAGGAAGCTGTGAGAAAGCTGTGAGAATCCCATCCCTTCAGGAAGCTGTGAGAATCCCAACAGCTTTCTCTCACAGGTGAAGGTATCATCGTGAACAGACTCTGTTCAACAGAGCGTGAAGACCAAGTCCGGATTATCCAAAGTGGAACATCAAGGCCAAGGAAGGTAGAGGAAGAGAATCTCTTCAAGAGATCGTCAGTATGTGGGCAAGGACAGAAGCCAATGGTTATGCTTTAACTGTCAGAAGCCAGGCCATTTTCGACGTGATTGCCCTCTATTAAAGACCGATATGTCTCCTCCTTCGGGAAACACCGAGGCAGCGCCGATGAAGCAGTAGGCTATCCCTGCGTCGCTAGTGAACAAGCCTTACATATATCCCGCCTCCTATGTCTCTATCACGATGGTACATGTCACTAGGAAGCTCTCGTGGAATACGCTCAGGAACTTCACTCCTGCGACTACAGTAACGTTTCGATTTGGTAATAGGCTTAAGCTTTATAATTATACTGTATTATTCTATATAATAGTATCTCCTGTGTTATAAGTTATACTCGTCATATATCGTTCATATCGTATATTCTGCCCATCTAACTTATCCATTTACTCACTTTCTGCCTTGTGTTATAATCAGTTAGCCAACTAACGGGGAATCTACTCGACTACACGATCTTCAATCCCCACTGGACTATACACTAAAATTTTTAATTTAAAAACCATTCGCCTACGATCTCGGTGACAGCGACGACGTTCGACTCGACGCGAAGTTGCTTGATCGCACGATTCTTCCGAAATTCTCAGTTTAGAGCAAACTATGTTGCGACAACTGTTGTGAATGTATCTGCATCGATGGCGTCTCGATTAAGGGAAGATTGAGAGCCCTGCTGTGCCTTGGGAATAGCTCCGTTTCGGGGCTTCGCCTCGAAAAAGATGCTCAGGTTGATATTGCTCAGTTCTGGCATCTCACGACATTGCTTTCCTGAATACATATCGCCTCAGTCCCAAAAAAGCTCATCACGAGGCAGTGGTCTCAGGGAGATTATGGGAGAAAGACTATTCAAGACCAGTGCTGGTACTGTACTGTCCGGGACCACCGGAACTCCACCATACTTCTGAACTTTTCGAGTTTCGAGGCTCGATCTCGAATCGATTCGGTCCCAGAGGTTATACAATCGATTGGTCCAATATCGATACCGGTAACCGAGAATCGATCTCGAATCGATTCTTTCGATTTAGGGGCGCCGGTTCGATCCAAGGCTCCGGCATTTTTATGTATTTTCTATTTCGAAAAGTTGCGCACAATGGAACCACTGAAACCCGGCACCTGCTCATCCGCGCCCCTAGATTCGTCGCCCCTAAGGTACTCAATCCGCCCCTAAATTGCCCAATCTGCCCCTAAATGACTCGTACCGGCCCCTAACTTTTCAAGCTACCCGAGCGTCCCTGAAGCTTCACTGCAAGCATGTCACGTGGCTTTGTTGACTGCCATGACATCTTGAGGAAAACTCATGTGCATCACGCTTGACCCTGGCCGTCTGAAAGATACATGTTCGAACTTGACCAGCCACTGGCTTGAACGTTTCGAAACCTTGGCCGACGCAATGATCAATCTAGTTTCACATCGTTGTGTTGAGCCGTGCTATCTACTGATCTTGGCCGGCGGCCAATGGCCGCCCTGAACACGTACTGAGCGTACTGAACTCCACCACGTAACTACATTTATTAGCTAAGCATACTGGTATGGGTCACTGAGACAGAAACTGTCAGTCTCAGAGAAGCTGTAACGATAGCGGATGACTCATCCAACTTTAGAACGCATGTGGCATATTTAGGGACGGATTGAGTAATTTAGGGGCGGGGCGAAGAATCCGGATTTTTGACCTATGCTATATGCGATAACTATTAGAGTTATTAGGCTACTTAGTAGCCGCTACTAGGGATATTGAATTTGCGGTGTGGATTATGCTCAGAAATAGTATTTGGATAATCTTCTTCTGAATTACCGAAGAACTATCTCGAGGGTTCGTCGAGGCTCGAGGCAAACGCGCAATCTGACCGAACCCGGGGAATACCATCCTTCCGACCCGGGGAATCGGCATCTGCAGAATATCTGGCTGTCGCCGCAATTGGCAGCGTGCCACAGCAAAGCGACTCGCCTCGGGCGAACAGCAAGGTCGTGCGCGGATATTCAGTATCTCGCTGATGGAGTCTATCCGAGTCAGATAATCAGACAGCCTCCCAGTGCCTGTGGCTATCAACTGAGCGGTCTAGCCTCGACCCTTACTTTTTCTTCTCGTGGAAGTGCTTTGCTAAAGGCATCCTGAATTGTTGCAATAATATGACAGGTGCTGTAGACCCTATAAGTAACCCTCAATGCTGACGTAGGAGAGCATTTCAATGAATTTCGAATTTCGAGGTGGATCGATTCCTCGAATCGAATCGATTCGTCTGCCCGCCGCAGCATCCTCGATTGATTAGCACCGAACAATCGATCGATTTTCGATATCTCGATCCAATCGAGCCTCGGTCCGATGTATGAACTCCACTTGATCATCCGGGAGAGCCGGTATACGGACTGATGTAACATCAGTGATGTTGGATCCGGCTCGTAACATCGCGGCAGACCGAAAGAAAGTGAGGCCCACAGATGATAGGTAGGGGCGTTGATGGAATTAGACAATGAACTGAATTGACAAGTTTATCATTCAACCGCTGTTAAGAGGAGGTTAAACTTTAACCTCCTCTTGCTTTAATCGTTAAAACAATTGGACTTTCAAATAACGCCATCTTTTCCAATTTGGAAAAGAACGCGTTCTTCGCAGTGACCGATGGTGCAGGTAATATAAAGGATAAATAATCGTGTAAGGAGAGGGTTTTTGGGATTTCTTTCCAAGGACTTTTATACCGGTTTCATACGTTCACATGTTTGCAGGCTCGGAGATCAACGGGAAAAGAAGATGTGACTAGCAGTTCCCAAACGGAGTTCCATCCGGCAGGTCTCAGCAAAGGTTTCCCAGGTACTGGGAAAAGCTTGCGACGGCAGAACTAAACAACCCAGGAGGAAACGCTAAACTTGACGTACAGCTTGCACTTGCGTTGTTTTGAGAGATTTGTCTTCTGAAAGACCTAGCTGGTCATATGGGACTCAGCGTCTCAGCCTGAACCATACCCGAAACCTTCGGGCCGAAGGTTTCCTAAGAAGTGTACCGCGACTCACAGTCTGGGGCAAAGCTTGACGATAATGACTGACTCTCCTATCATACTGGGATACTATCTGACCCTGAGATATAGGTTGATTTATCAAGCGACCTGAGACGAACAAATCTCCTAAGGTTCTCAGGTGAAAGCAAATTGCGTTGCGACTACGGATGCTAATGCATCTGCATCGATGGCATCTCGATTAAGAAAAGACTGGGAGCACTGCTCTCCCCTGGGACTGCTACTAGTACCATTACGGTTATTTCTGATGTATTAACAGAGGAGGGAGAGGGAGAACTTCTCTCCCGGAGAAGGGGAACAGGTGGAAGAGCAAGGGAGGGAACAGGGAGAGGCCCACTACAATGCAGCTCTATGAATTCTCTGCTTCATCATTATTCCAGATTTATTTGTGCTATTTTGGAATCATCAGGGATAGAGTCTCTATCGTCCGTTGTCCTGGTCTTCTTAACGCGCTGGTACTCCTAGTTTTCTCATGTTTGCTGTGGGTTTCTCTTTTCGCGCTTCGTACATGGGTTTTTTGTCTGTTTACCCTGGTGCGATCTTGGCACCAGGGTTACTTTTACTGTGCCGGCTTCGCGGCGGCGCAAGTTGTAAATCTCGCTCGCCCGAAATTCACTAGTTGAAACGGGTGAAACGGCTAGTGTTACGGCTTCTTCGTGTAGCCTTTCTGTAAGCCTTTATTGAGATCTTTGAGTGATCTGTGAGGACTATCTCCTAGATAGCATCGGGAACTATCTCTTTCGTAACTAACCCTAACACCAATAGGTCTGTTATACCCTCAACGCTCTAGTACATTGCGTTAAGCCTCAGGAGTCTATGGAATTACGTTCTGGTTCTAAGTTATCCCCCTCTGTCGGTTCTGTCCGCAGAGGGAGATCTAGAGAGGAATCTAGTGCTTTTTCTCTTCCCCCTAGTAACAGGATTCCATCACCGGCTCCTGCACATTCTACCGGGATATTACCCCGAACCAACTCACAAACTCAAGATGACGATCGCATTCACAGCAAGGCCCCTCAAGAGAGAGAGCCATCTAGCTGTACTGAACCTCCTGACCAAGGCGTCTCTGATCAATCCCTGGTTGGTCTACCCCCTATCCTCAAGGGGGGTGCATCCATGAGCTCGAGGGCTACGAGGACATCGTCCAAGGGTCTCTATGGCAAGAGCCAGACCCGCCTCAAGCCCCCGGTCGCCCGAATCAAGGAGCGTGATCGAAGTGATGCCCATCTAGTCGAGAAGAGTTCGCAAGAGACATCACCAAGCTCAAGGCTCCGTGAAGGGCTCCCATCTATGAGGAGTGCCTTCATGACCATCAACAGCGACCTTAACTCCGAAGAGCCAAGTCAAGTCTCTGGAGCTATCGCTGTTGGACCTACATCTAGTCCACCTGACTCAATGCTCCTCCATGAAGTGAGTGTTACCAGTCCCCCCATTCAAGGCAGACCCAATGAGGGATCTACCACACCTATTGTGAACATCGACCCTGCTCCACCAGCAATATGTTCTGAGATCAGGCATAAGCCTGACTCTATCGAGGCCGAGCATCTCATGACTTCGCCATTAAGACCGATCCGAGCCCCTACGGATGGCCCCACAGTGGGGAGCCCGAGGACGGCAGAAAGATTGATGAGTGACGAATCTATACCATGTTCTGTGCCTATTATTGCGTGTTCTAACCAGTTTCAACCGTGTCAGTACGGGTATTCAATTAGTCACATCTACCACGAGACCAAAGGTAAGACCGATGAGCGAAAGCCTAGACATGATCTAGGGTTAGTAGCGCCCCTTCAGTGCCCCCGGTCGGCACGGTCTTGTGGCTCTGAACCCTCACACTGCCAAGGCGGTCCTTATCAGGATCTACCTTATAGATCCAATCCGGTCCATGACGCCTACAACGCTGGCGATCATACTGAGACTGGTGGCAGTGATAATGGTGGTGGCTACTTAACTGGTGGTGGTAATGGTGGTGGTTATCTAACTGGTAATGGCGGTGGTTATCTAACTGGTAATGGTCATGGTGGTGGTTACCTAACCTCTGAGGTTTGTGGCCATCAAACTGGTGATGGTACTGGTGGTCATCAATATAACAAGACCAGTGGGCTTACTCAAGTCACCTTCGGTCATATCTCTAACCCTAGTGTTATGAGTGCTAATTATCTAAGTAGACACGATCTACACGGCAACGGTTGTTACGATTGCCAGGGCCCCCAAGGGGGTTCCGGGAGAGTTGTTCAACGCTCTTCACCAAACTTCGGAGTCAATGACCCCAACTATGATGTTCTACATAGGCATCATCTATATGAGTCGGCAGCTAATGCACCTACTGTCCAAGCTCATTCTGATATCATTGTATCTAATTTACATCGCAATCAACCTCAACAGTGGAGACTATCCACTGAGGCTGGTGATGTTTGCAATGGTGCATCTGGTGATCCAGCGACTGTGCAAGGATCAACCTTTATGGAATCACAGCAGATTCCTCATCGACGGCAACATCGATCTATCAAGCGCGATGGTCCCCTCGATTCGAGCCCTGAGAGCTCACACGGAAAAGGCAGCTCTGCCACATCTAGTCCGAGAAGTACTATAGCTGGCCGTGGTGAGCGACTCAGGCGATCAAAGAACATCAAGCCTCGTACGTCATCTAGAAGGTATCGGTCGTCATCATCGTCATCTAGTAGTGCTCGTGAATCGTCATATTCGTCAAGCTCATCTAGTGATGAAGGTTCACGACACCGACACCGATCTGACCGAGGTGGGAAATTCTACGTTCCGGCGAAGCGATCTATTGCTGGGTACTACTCTAAGTGCCCGGGTTGCCATAAGAAGCCTTGCATATCACGCATTATTGACAAGGACTTCGACTCAGCGGCATCTAATGCTGCTAAGGCCAAATCCAAATCTATGTTCATCGGTTATGATGACGAAAGAAGCGGCACTATGTTCTGCCGTGAGATCGACTTCGCTATGGAGGGTCACAATGCCGTCACCCGTTATCTATGGGCTAAGAATAACATCGATGCCGGTCTATGGCGTAAGCTAACTAATGCGACCGAGCCACCGGCTAGATGTCATCAAAGCTATGAGCATCATTTACGTCGACTTTGTCGTAAACTACGCAAAACTTTCGACACGGATGAGGCTTTGTCTCGAGCCGAGTACAAATTCAACACTTGTACCCAGCGATCTAGCGAGACATTATTCCAGTTCATATCGAGGCTAGAAACTCTAGCTGACGAGCTGGTATATCTACGAGCTGGGCCGAGAGAGTCTACCCTCAAACGACGTCTGTATGATGGTCTATCATCCAACGATCTGAAGGAGAAGGTCGAGACCAAGGTGGGCAACCACAAAATATCATATAAGAAATTTGTGGATCGACTGTCAGAGCATGAGAGGAGGCGTCAGGGCCGACTCCAACGCTCATCTACGGTCAACAAGCCCAGTGGTAGATCGACAGGTCGTCTACATGTCATCGAGTGTGAAGACGATCCTCAAGAAGAGACCTATTGCCATGCCGTTGGCAGCGATGCCTTATCTATAAAGTGCTATCGGTGCCTCCAGAGCGGTCACCCAGCTCGACTCTGTACTGAGCCCAAGGTGGTCGATCTACAGAAGAGGTGCTCTAAGTGTGGCAATCCAGAGCATCAAGAGACAGACTGCAAGGTCCCAGTCAACAGGTTATTCTGCCAACGTTGCCTGAAGAAGGGACATCTAGCATATGTCTGTACTGCTCTTACACCAGCAGATCAACCGAAGAAGGTGGGACCTAAGCCTAAGAAAGACTTCGGTAAGGGGAAATCTAAAAAGATTAACCCTCCTCAAACACCCCCATCTAACTCTACGGTTATCCCTTCTGGAGCTGGTGCGAACGTCATCCATGAGGATAACGCCTATGATGGACTATGCATAGAGCCTGTAACATCTAGCGATGTCGACGTTCCTTTTCGAGCCATGGCCTCTACTGTTCCGCCAGTATCTAATCGCTCAAACCATAGAGTATCTATGGTGGTAGGTGACCTATGTGTGTACGGAACCACTCGACCCGTACTCTTCGACACGGGCGCAGATATCAGCCTGATTGCTCTATCTACTCTGAAGAAACTCGCTCCCAACAAGAAGATTACTATCCCACCTAAGTCCTCTATCGGAAGAGTCCATGTTGCTAATGGCGGGCAACTAGACATCTTAGGTAAGGTCAGTCTACCCATCGGGAAGGGCACCTACACTGTCACCGATACCTTCTTGCTAGCATCCGACCATCTAAGCACACCTATCATTATAGGCTGCTCCACGATGGCCAAGCTACATGCGGTTATCTCCTTCAAACCGGAGGGATCTATCGAGGTGAAGATCGGCCATACATCCACTACGACCCCACAAGTGGAGCCTTGTGATCTAGTATCCCCCAGATCGGTGGAGTACATACGCAAGGTAGGCATCATGAACGTCATGGGCGGTCGAACGTCGAGAGACGAAGATCTACTATCGCTCTCCGCCAAAGGGACCCGAAATCTAAGCCAGTCCTACGATTTGATCGATACGCTCAAGGCATATAAATCGCTGAACTCTGAGTGTGGTATCTACCCTCAAATCGACGACGGTAACCTCGACGACTCTCTATGTGTATCAGAAGAGACCGTGAGCTCTGGCGAAAGTCTACCTACCATCAATAGGGACGACCTACCACCTCAGCAAGCCATCATCCGAGAATGGGTTGCAGATAGCTCGGCCCCTCTAGGACGAGCTAGACCTCAAGTGCCGTGGAGAAGTCCAACATCTAGGCCGCGATATAACTATCATATGGCTAGGAAACGAGGATTGGCATCTATTAAGGCCATCACGGGTGAGCGGATGGAAATGTTCCATCGGGCACTCGATGGTTACATATCCAAGGGTTTCTGTGCTATCGTCAAGGATAATCGCCTCGACCCATCTAAGCCAGAAGCATCTACGTGCCAATCTGTCTGGGAGAAGCTGAGTAAGGGCACCCCTTATCAAGGGTCACTCGCCCCTCTGCCAGAGCACTTCACAGCTAGTCATCTAGTCTACCGAGACCAACATCCAACTACGCCTTGCCGTATAGTCTTAGACTATAGAGAGGCAAATCTATACTCTCTAAGAGGCGGTTATCCACAGAATAGTCTACATGGTACTCTACTCTTATTGAGGTCATCTAAGTACTTCGTTGCCGGTGATTTGAGTAAAGCATTCTGTAGAATGCAATCTAGCCGTGCAGACGTACCCTATGTGGGGTATACCTGTATTGGACCTTTCACGGTCCTATGGTCACGTGTTGGATTTGGAACTAGGGCGGCACCTAATATGTTGGATAGTGTTGTGGATGATACCATCGACGAGATCTACGACTTGAGTCAACTAGCGGCTGAAATCGATGGAGACACTTTCGAAGTCGCTGTGAAAAGTATCGACCCAGGAAGGATCAAGAGTGTATTACTCTATCCTTCGGAAGAAGGCTATGACTATCTATGTGACGGTCCACCTATACCGAGCCACGTGAAGATGCTAAAGTTCGTTGATGACATCTACGCTTTAGGATCTACAGTTGCTGAAGCTCAACGCAACTACCGATTTGTATCATACCTACTCAAAGGGCATGATCTACCCGCTGAAGACCTGAAGAAGTTCGAGAACTGGATCTGCAAATCTGTAGCGGGTATCGAGACACGTGGACATCTATTAGGGTACGACTATCTACCGTCTAACGATGGCCTCTATCCCACGATGTCTGCTAAGCCACCTGAGGGCCTTACATATATGAGCAAGCGCTCATCTAGTAGCATCCTGGCTTCTCTCTATGATCCATTGGGTCTAATCATAGAACAGGATATTCGAGCTAGATCTCTATGGCGGCGAATCTGCCAGGAGATCAAAGAGTGGGATCAAATGATCCCCTATCAGTTACAGCAGCAGGTTGTTAGATGGGCCTCCGAAACTACCCAAGTATGTAAAACTATATCTACGTCAAGGTTTACTCCCTATGATGCAGAGCTGATCCTCAGCACAGATGCATCTAAGGATGCTTGGGGCGCCGATCTACGATTAAAATCGAGACCTGACGTGCGTCTGGCAGCTAAAGGAGCTTTATATACAAACTCCACTCTATCGTGGTCCATCCCTAGGAAAGAGCTAGATGCCCTTTATCGAGGTTTGCTCTGGACCCGGGCATTATCGGTATATCTACCGATCAAGAGCATTTATGGGGAGAACCAAGCCCCATTGAGTAAGCTCAGCCCGGAGGTACCTATCTATCGACTGGTTGTGGCGATCGACTCGGAGCTCACAGTATATCGGCTAAGGAGACCATCGAACGATACTCGACTTCCAGCACCTGAAAAAAGGCGGCTTCAAGCTATACGTAATCTATGCGTTCAGCTCGATGCCACGGTGCGACATATACCTTCTGGATGCAATCCAGCGGATTCTGTATCTCGATATGCAATGGGGAGAGACTTCGATGGCCACAAACTTAGTGAAGCTATCGATTCCGCTAGCGTGATCTACGACTACCGAGAGGACACTTCTAGTGACGAAGGTTGCCAGTTCGATAAGGACATCTACTGTCATGTCGCATCATGTATCCACGATCCTGAGCGGGATCTGCTATTCTCACCTATCCCCTCCGTGACCGCGGGGTGCTGCGCTACGCTTGCACCGCCTACAACCGCTAACGCGGGGTGCTACGCTACGCTTGCACCGCCTACAACCGCTAACGCGGGGTGCTACGCTACGCTCGCACCAAACAACCTATTACCCTGGGTCTACTCGGTGAGCTCTCCGTATCCCCTAATATCGATAGTGTCATTGTTCGACAAGAAGAGCTCATTTTTATCGCGCCATCAACTAGGGCTCTTACACGATCCTTATCGGTAAGGACGAGGAATCTACTTGAACGGTTATGCAAGCTATAATATTTGCCCTACGTATGCATCATTGTGCCATGGGAAGGCGTCGATTCTATTGCTCGCGAAGGCAATCGATTCTGTCCAATTGTTCATTCTATGGCGAAATAAGAAGCTTTTAGTGGTCGATGATGACGACAATGAGTTATTATCTATTTTTCGCTCAGCTATCGCGATAAAGATAGTAATCGTGACGAGGATATCGTCTATTTCTTCTCTCTTCTATCACCGTATCGATAGTTGTCACTTATTCTTGTATTTGATTATCGATGATGTATGGGTGCTCAAATGTCGCACGCGGGGTATGTGCCGGCTTCGCGGCGGCGCAAGTTGTAAATCTCGCTCGCCCGAAACACTAGCCGTTTCACCCGTTTCAACTAGTGAATTGAAGCCTTTATTGAGATCTTTGAGTGATCTGTGAGGACTATCTCCTAGATAGCATCGGGAACTATCTCTTTCGTAACTAACCCTAACACCAATAGGTCTGTTATACCCTCAACGCTCTAATACATTGCGTTAAGCCTCAGGAGTCTATGGAATTACGTTCTGGTTCTAAGTTATCCCCCTCTGTCGGTTCTGTCCGCAGAGGGAGATCTAGAGAGGAATCTAGTGCTTTTTATCTTCCCCCTAGTAACAGGATTCCATCACCGGCTCCTGCACATTACCCCGGTACGGGCGCGCGCTTTTTCCTGCGCGCTGGATCCGATGGATCTTGTGTTGCTCTTTGTTCTTCTCCTGATGCCCAAAACTAAGCGCTCGGAAGCCACGGTTAGGCGAGATTATGCTGCCCTTATTGCTAAGTGGGAGGACGGGGACCTTGCGGCTGATCCTGGTCGCAGGGGTGACAGTCACCCGGTGACTTTTGTCACCCGGTGACTCACCCCGGGTGAGTTTCCGTGTGTCGATCCTTTGAAGTTATTTGTTAGGCCGTATGCCTTCTGAACTTGTGAAAATTAAAGAATCAATTATTGAGAAGCAAAAGAGAAAGAACGTTGACCAATGGTTCGCTCCTAATAGCAAGGGCCATAGCTTTAGTGATCCTCCGGCTGCGACAGCTATGGAGGAGGGAGGTAACGCCGTTGTATAATACAACTTGTATTAGAGGATGCGGTGTGGGGCCTGCGCACGAACATGGTAGTAACCTACCAGTGAGGCATTTGTTACTAGCATCAGTGTAGCTTCAGGCATCATCACGGACGGGAGAGTCCGCGCCACCATGTGAACCCCCCAAAAAATGTATCAAACTCGCACCTCTGAATGCGGACTCGTCAGAAGCGAGAAGACTGAAAACTGAGCACAAGGAAGGGGAAGGGACTGGACTCCAGTCACTGGAGGAGAGAAGCAAAATTCAACCCGAAGCAGGCAGTGGCAGTGTAGTGTGGGAGGCCTGGAACTCACCGAGTCGAACTCAAGATGAGAGTGCTTCTGTTCCGCAGGTGCGAAGCCGACCGGCATGGGATTGTGAGATCAAAACGATGCGGGATCTAAACGAGGTCCTTGGGAAATACACGCAGGCGGACTCAACTATGCCAGCTCTGTATATCTTCGAACCCCCTTCGCCGGAGGATGCTGTCCGCTCGTGCAGACCCAGCGATTTGGCGAGGACTCTATGTGCTACAACCTTGGTAGTGTGGTTTCCGCGTGGGGGAGTCTGTCCCCGTTGTGGGAGTCGGGCACATAGTGGGTGCAAAGATTTAGCATCCACAAAGGTTATATTAGCCTCCAGTGAAGCATGGCCCATCCGTGTGTGTACACCGAAACGCCAATGCCGTCAATGCAGACAGGGTGTGATTTTTGCAAGTGTCAATTTCCATTCCTGAAATTTCCGATGGAAATTTCGGAAAAATTTCCACGACCCTTGAATTTCCAGGAAATCTAACAAAAATGGCTATTTACTGATCTCTACGCACGTTTCGTTTACAAAAAAGCTCAATCTGCATTAAGAATAGCTCTTCGCATAGATAGAGTATCGTAGTGATGCTCAGAATTGGTTTTTGTGCGTAAAAGCCCCAACGGCTGGAATCGCTCATCAAGGCGAGCGCTTACAAGTCTTCGTCGTGCGTCATGAGGTGCCACTTGAAACAACTTCGTCGAAGTCCTCCTATTCATCCGAAGTCTTGAGGCGAGTCGCCTCAGGCGACCTTCGCCTAATATACTCGCTATGCTGAGCATAGCGAGTATATTCGACTCAGAGGAGGACTCAGATGCCAGCTAATGTGAAGATGATATTCGAATTAATATCAAATATACTGCATTAGCTCCCAGAGTAATGATCACTTCCTGAGTCTGCGATGAGTTGGGTTGATTCCTCGAGTTCTGGTACGCTGAAGCTCGCAATCTGAATGTTACATAAACCCTCACTGCGACGTTTCCTTATAGAGTATGCTACTGATATGATACTAGCTTAATAGTGCCCAAGGTGAAGTTCTCACGGTGAGAATCTCACCTGGTGAGAATCTCACCTGCCAGGTAGACCCCGTTCGTCTCTAGAGACACGTACGAAACACAAAGGCTCTGAAGAACGGCATAGAAAGTCTGCACCACCGTTGCACACTAATGAATTATCATACTTCAATCAAACTAATTGGCCGTTTTCCCAAGCTTACTAATTACCTCGATGTAGCACTTCAAACTCGGTAGATCAAACTCGCCTTCAAGATAGCGCGACTTCACACTCCACACATCAAAGGAACCATCCAAGCGATGATTGCTGCTGTCATAATATATGATGTGGTGAACTTTTTTCCTGGGACACTGCATGATTCTGCCATAGTGCTCATCTGGGCATTTGAACGATACCCCATCCTCGCCATAGAACCGCAAGAATGCATGAGATATGTGCTTCGCAAGAGAAGTCCTCTGAACGGACGAAGCAGCTTCTTGGGAGCCACTCGAAGATGCCGCCGAGACCACAGGTTGCTCACATAGCTGCACAGCATGCTCCTCTAGATACTGAACTGGGGACTGAGCTGCCGATCCTCCAATAGATCCAAATGATAAATCGAACTTTTTACAAGAATCACACTCAGACCCAGATGGTGAATCATTCGCCGAGCTTGGCCTCACGTCCAATCGGCTTGTTGGCGCTTCAGATTGCAGACGTTCGGCCCAACTGACTCAGGCCGTCATGAAGATTTGCTCTGGCCCAGCACCAAATCTGAAAGGTCCTCAAAGAACGGTTTTCGGCAATCAATGTGCTCCGCGAACTGCGCATTGATCTATAGTCAACAATCACCTGGTAGTTCTCTTATCTGCGGGACGTAGCACTTCATGTTGCACCGTATATGTAGAACAGAGCGTCACCGCAGCCTCGTGTAGACGTTTAGCCATCTCCCTTGAACGTTCTCCAGTAGACGCTAGGCTCGACGAGTTTCAATGTTGAAGGTGGGAAAACCATGTGTGAACCTGAAGTACCGCCTCCCTTGATCTCTACCACTGCAGGGAAATGCTGGAAAATTGCCCACATCACCTGCACGATTGGCGAAGTCAAAGCAGCACTGCACACAGCGTTCTCTATCGGGAAAGCGTCCAGTCTCGATGATCGACAGAGCTTGGGCGAGGAATGGGGTTTTTCAACCGTCTTCCGATGACCATGGTTCTTCAAGAACCTGTATTAGCTGTTTCTTTACGTACTCTATGGACATTCCCTCAATTCCAAGCCTATGTTTATTCACTTTTCATACTCACTGCTAACCTGCTATAAACCTCATACCCTTATACTCAACGATGGCTCCTCAACGTCCTTGACATTGCGGTTACACTGACTTTGTCCTTCACAACTCAAACCCTTGTCATACTTCCAACCCAAATGAATCTCCTCGCCGATGACAAAAAGCCCCATGCACTAGATCCCGACTGCGCGCTAGCGCAGAAGCTCGGAAGCATCTTGGCGGAAATTTCCTGGAAATTCCGGAAATTTCCACCTTGAAATTTCCAAACACAGAATATTGTGCTGAATTTCCACTCACATCACACCCTGAATGCAGACATACATGGATATCAACCTCTCAAAGGTGATGACAGTCCTCTAACGTATACCGAGATCTACCTCAGATATGTGAAGTCGCTTCCTCATCACATCTCTCAACAACTAACATCCCGGTTCTTAATTACCGACAAGTGCCAATATGGTGTAAGTATGGCACCAATATTACGGCTGAGAGCCGGTGCTTTGATCGACAACGAGGTGGCCATAATTAAAGGGATGGAAGAAATGGCGTTAATGCGGCGACGTCAGCTCTATGACGCTACGTTGGCCAAGTACAGGGGGCACTCGCTATATCAGAGGGAATGCCGAGATATGCCTCCTGGGGATGTGGCGATACCGAGGCCTGAGCACACAATTAGCTTCTATACCATGAAGTCCAACTTTCTGAAGGATTACCGGCGACATAAAGAAGCCCTTCTCAAAGAGCTAGGGTCCTTTAGATGTGATGGTATAGTCTCCTTGGATCATTCGAGACCCGTATGTAAACGAGTCACCGAATGCCATTCCGGTGGTTATTTATGTGCATTGATAGATGGGAAGGGACTGATATTAAATTTGGTACTGGTCAGTAGTACTTCGATGCGAGAGCTCGAGCTGGCGTTCTCCCAACTTAGGGGAAGGATATCTCCACCCCCAGCCGACTCGGATGCTCCACATCTGACTATCTTTCTCGATTGTTCGTGCTGCGGCACTGCCGCTGACAACTTGAAGGAAATGGTGGCTCGAGCGACGAAGATTCCTACAAACAAATTGGAAACAAAATTGGACGGTCTTCATGCGATATTCAGATTGCAGCGGTCTTGCAACGCGGCCTGTCCCAGGGCGATATCTTTTGCGAAGGCGTTGAGCCGGGCCATTTATATGCCGAGCAGTGCTGATCTTCAACTGCTAAAATGTAGGAAAGCCCA